ATAAAGGGTTATTTCGTGATTCTCTCTATATCTAAACGTTTGTGATTCTATTACTGTACAAAAGACACAAGTGAATAGCACCTTTCAATAAAAATAACAACAAGAAAATACTAATATGTCAACATAACATAACATTCAATAATGCTGGGGCATAACATGAACAAAAGACAAAATTTAATAAGAGACTCATCATTTAAAGAGAAGGGAATAAGACCAGGTGTTCCGAAAGAAAACGCATCTTCTGATTCATCCACCACACCCGCCATGTTAATCTTGGCCAAGCCAAATAAGCAATGGCAAACTAACGAGCTTCAAACACGCACAGTGTGATATTGAAAAAAGAGAATAGAATATTCCTCAATGAGATCACTATGACAAACATAATTATCATCCTGCATCTTTTGAAACCCTGTGATAGGAGTTTGTCCGTCAGTTGACGACTTTTCCCACGAAAATCGTTATATTCGGACAGGCTATTATCGAAACTTATACGAAACAATTTCATGATGCAGTTCAATTCATTGTTTGGTTCTATTGTATTTAATCTCAATTGTGTGTCTTGTTAAAATCTTTAAACACTATTAATTAGGGAAGCCAGGATGTTGCTTTTCAGAAATGGAAAATCATAACAAGTACATGTACATAACAACTAAAAGTTCCATACCTGTAAACATTAAAAAGTACATTAGCGGAAACGAAATTAGGACGAAATGACGAAACCCGACCAGGAAATTGAACGGGGAGGGGGTGCATAAAAATCACATGAATACCATACAGAAACGATTTGATATCAAAGTGATCTCAAAAAAACTCAAGCTAAGTCGTTGCTATACTTACTTTATCAACAGAAAGACAGACAGAAAGAGTCATATAATGATGTTTGTTTCATAATTATGTTATCTAGATAAGTACATTGTTCTAATTTATCGTAAATTATTGAGTTAATTTAATACAAAACCGATTGAGAATATCAGAAATATCGTTGTTGATGAGGCTCAGTTTAAGTAAATAATATCACAAAATATAAAAAATGCATTACGAAGGAAAATCGAAAACTTAATTCTATGGCAAAGAGACATTACCGTCAATAGCCATTTCTCTTTATCAATATAGAGAGGCAGTTTTAATGAAGAATCCAGGGAATGTCTTTGTACGAATTACATTTAATGTTTATAGAATTAAGGTATTATTCGAAGATTTTATAAATAGAACAAATATCTATTAAGTATTTCCAGTATTAATTGTGTATAATGCATTTCTGATATTCACAGACAAATATTTTAATAAAATTTCCATACATCATACATGACATTGTGATGAGGAATGTTCACCATTAGTGTATTTATTGTTTTGATAAACGCCACGAAGAAATTCGATAGCAATCTGTTTTAATGTACTTCTGTATACACGTTATTTGTGAGGATCAGAATACAAATACAAGTCATTGTTATAACAATGTCGCTGTGTTCTCTTATTTTCTTCATTTGACATTCGCATTCATTGTATTAATTTGTTAGCAATGTTGAGAAATACACTCTGAAAAGCCAAAGTGGTGAAAGGATAGTGCGACATCATCGGCGCCATCCGACTTACAATATATCACACCTACGAGATGTCAGATGTCGACAGCGATTATTCCCATCATTGACCTCATCATCACGAAACATAAATCAATTATATCGTCTCGGAGATATTCTCACTTTTACATTACGGATATAAAGTGGGAAATAAAAGTGTACCTACATTCGTATATACTACATTTTAGCCATAAAAATAATTCAAAGCTATTAGCTTTGTGATAACTGAAGCTGACATATATTGCAGCAATAAATGTACATATGTCCCTAATAACAACAAAACACTTCCGTCAGAAAATTTATCGCCGTCCGAAATCTGTTTCGGATAAAAAAATGTCCAGTCCCCGAGATGAAAATGGGCCTATATCAACGTAGCCCGCTGCTACACCAAAGTCTTACTAGGTTAACATGGTAGTCTTGTGCTATTTATCGTTAGTGGACCTTCAACTAATGGCTCGATAATTTGGATATACAGCAAATTGCTACAGAATCGTCATCGACCAATCTAACTCATTCCGTAGTTTAGAACTCATTCCACGTGCATTATTGTACACGCGAGAAATTTTAAAAGTAATACTTGCTCCAAGAAGTGGATTGTCTTACAATGTCACCATGGTTACATTTATGAACATAACATATATTATTTATAACAACAGATGACAAATTGTATATTATCGGGAATGTATACAAATACACGATATACCATCGACGTATATTCCCAGCAGCGTAATTCTTAATGGAAAAACGAATGCGTTTGCTTCCAATTTGTATGAAGATGTCTTTAGTTTGATAGGTTTATCCCTCTTACAACTGAAGAGACGAAAAGAAAAGGCACACTGGGATATGGACTGGCACTAAAACACCAGGAAAGCAGAAAAAAATAAATATCGTTACGTAACACATTGTATTTTGTGTAGATAAGTTAAGGCTGTGAGATCTTAAAGGGACGGGAAAGGTAAAAAAAGTGTATGACAACACTGAAATATTAAACAGGATTGTAGCCATAAAAGAGAGATGACTAAATAACTAATAAAATGGCTCTCCAACTTCAATCGACTGACATCTATCCACAGATTCTGTTTCTTTCTTTTTTTCTTTTTTTAGATTTAATTGTATTAAATCTGAAAGTGGCCATTAAAATTTAGAATTGAATTAAATCTCTTTATTCATCACCACATACTGTGTTTAATTATGCATTTCTTGTAGGTATAGGACACTTGTGTGTCACTTGTACAGGTCTTTTCACAAGAAACCTAGATACCTTTATACCATGAAATGTTTTTATCTGCGAGACAATTAGAAAAAAAAATAATTTTAACATTGAAGCCATTTCATTGATATCATTTTTCTTTCGACTGTTTTCACACAAACACTAAAAGGCGCTTACAACAACCAGAGAACATCAGTTAGCCAGCGTTCAGGATAATTCTCTAGGTCATCTTCTGTCATTTGTAACTAATCACGAAGACAGCTGGATCTCGACTTGCAAAAGACCGGTGTGATTTTCCAATTAAATATTGCCCATACTGTCTTTATTGTTCCTAGTGGATATTAATTAGATATCACTAGTGATTCTAAGTCTTGGCATGGCCTTCCAGTTTCAATACTGCTTCAATACTGAATCATTGGGTAACCTTTCCGCGTAGCTGAGATATCTATCTTAATTTGTAAGATCTAACAACTGACGCTGTCTTCAATGACATTCAATACCGCTGGGAGCCATACGTTATACCCGGATACAGCCATAATCTGAATCTTAGAGGCAGCTATATACGTTGAAGGAAGATGGTGCTATTTCTATTGTTTTATCATGTTTTTACGTGTGCCTACGTCATTGTACTATTCAGCTTATCCACACATCCTTTACTTATGTCAATATGTCTGAAATGTTATATGAAATTGAAATAACGTTACTGTTTAAACAAATAATGTCGACTTTTAAAGATCTGATTATTCAAACAGAACCAGACATATCAATCAAAAACACTTTATGAGGCCCTTGTTCATAAAGGTAAAGAAATTTCTGACTAGTTATGTCTTTAACAGCAACTACATAAACCACTTTAATTAAGTTAAGTGAGTTAATGGTTAAGGACTATATACGAGTAACCATTAAGTGGTGTTAAAATGTAGTAATACAAAGTATAGGCACGAACAGTAAACTCTAACGTTATGCTGAATGCTGAATCTTTGTCATTTGAATAATAAACAATTTTCTGGGCAATTTGAAACGAAAATCGAAATTCCAATTTAGACATATACAGAGTAATAATCAGTTCTTCAACAACGACGTTTCTAACAGACAGAAAGGAAATGATGTTTGGCATTACCCATGTGTCACTGCGAGAATTTCAAAAGACAATTAGCAAGAGAACCGGCAAAAACCAATTTATGTGATCCATCCTAGATTTGACTGACTATACGTCAATAACTATGTTTGCAACGACTTGTGTGTATAAAGTTTTGTATCGCTCGACCTAGTTGCTCATTAGATCACTCGACAGTGGTATAAGGAAAATACACCTTGCCACAATACGGTCCAACATGACATTATTGTCTTTACAGGAAGTTGACTTATCATTTGATGTTTTAAACAAAGTTTTTCCTGCTTTCACATGAGTGAAAATTTCACATTCCTTTCAGTATATGTAGGGTGCATTGTTTGATGTTATCTTTGGCTATTAAATCATTCTAAAATACTTAGATCGATGAGTTCACTCCCTCGACCCTTAATAATCTTCTCACATCTATACATTTTCTGTATTGCTGACATGATGAAAATCGGAACATCGACCAATTGCTCGAGGAAAACAATCATCAAAACAAAAAAGTAGAGTCACCACTAATAGTATCGTACAACCGTTTTGATAAAATTGCTATAAAAACAAAGCGTATAAAGGATCCAGACGCGTGAAGGTTTGGCGCCATTATTGTTATCAAGACTTATGTACTCAGATCGGATTTGGTAAAATTATATCAATGAAACAGATTATCAGGTGAGGTGGTCGGGAAGGATCCATACGGAACAAATATTCGCAAAATGTTAAGGTGAATATTTTTGCACTTATTCGGTCCAATAATCGTCCGATTGTGACACAGGTCGGAATAGCTGGAACGTCATAAAATGCTTCTTAGGGTCTTACCTACATACACTATCATAATATAGCTCACGAAGCCTTCGCTTAAAACATAGATTGAATCCATTTCAAAAGCTCGTCTGTAGAAACTCGTTATACAGAACTTATGTCTTGCTAAAAAAAGAATACATTTTCTTCATATTTTTTTCAAAAGTGAATGGGTTTCAACTTATAACTTCAAAACTAGTTTTATATCTCGAACGATTTCTATAATATATGTTCAAAAGTATCAGCATTTATTTCGGCGTATAAGCTTTAGCAGAAGGAATGATAAAGACAGAGTTACCTTTCCTGCTTTGAAGAAGTCCATCCCAAACGGGTTCCTGGCATCTCCACCATCTGAGTTTTTGTGTCCCACCCCTTTCCAGATTGCCTGTGGATCACAAGGGCTCGGAACGTCCCCTCCATTCGGAATACGCTCTTTGAAATACGGGAAAGCGAGGGATCCCTTATGTGCCAGAAAAATAACCAGCAACACCAAATACCTGCAAGAAAGATCAAGGTAACTTGATAAACAAGGCATTTATTGTTGATATTCTTATCTATGATAACATTATGGGTAACAAAGCATCAGTAACTACGTTTGTAGACTATAATAAAATGTCATGGGCATTACTACTCCATCTAGTAGCATATAGCTATAAGATATGTGTCTTCTCCGATAGCACGAAAAAGGCTCGAATCAATGTCACAATCACCGAAATACAATATGCACTCCAGGATTGTACTGAACCATAAAAGGGAATAACATCTTTTAATAGAAATTTAGAATTTGATTACACATTCTTTATAACCATATGATGCAGGAACTGCAATCAGTGGTTTCATCCCTCTCGGACTCGTCAGTGATGTTCAAGGACTACCTCGTTGTGATCTGTCTAGATATCAAAACGGGCCGAAAGGAATGTCAAAAAACCACATGTGTATTTTCACTAGCCTCAATATTATGATCAAACTTCTGCTGTTACATTGTGTGTGCACTTAATAACTCAAAATGTTATACAGGAAACTTTCTTCGTCAAAGTATATGGTTCTAGATGGCAGATTACCAGACTGTTTCAATCATCAGAGGCAGTAAGTGCGGTAACACTTGGTTTAAGAAACGATGGTTCGGGAACGAAAGTTTATCTTGTATTTTGACGTGTCTATACGCATTGTCTGTTTTGTAACAATATATCCATAGCGTTTTGCTCACTATACAAAGGGTCGTTTGTGATCACTTCCCTACATCGATGTTAGCTAGTCTGTATCTGGTTTTTTTCTGCATGGTGAATGTTTCCACTTGGAATATAGTGTTATAGAAATTTATTACTGTTACAAAATTCTATTCTAACCGAAATCTGCAGTAAAATAAAGAAAAGTGCCAGGAAACTATCTAATTCTCTGATGTTTCCAATAATGTCGGAGTAACGATTAAGCTGAATATTTCGGGACATTTTCTTCATGTTGATAATGTCAATAGAATAAAAAATCTTTTAACAAAACCAGTAAAAGATTTGAGTGTGACTTTCGATGGCTACATGGTCACTTTCATCAGACAAATGATCATTGTGGAGCGTGCTAGCACTGACGTACGTAGGTGTACGAGATGGTAAGGAATCGACCATGTCTATTGGTTGTGCCATAATACGCACACTAAGGTATGCTGTGAGGAAATAGTAACATGATTATAGAAAAAAATGTGCACAAGATGGTAAAAATGTACTGTAGTTGATCGGGAGGACATTGACATTTCTATTTCTGTGAAAAAATTGACAGCAATGCATGTCAGTGGGCTCATCCAACACGTCTCAAAGTTCAAACAACGGTACAATTTCTTAACGTGTACTCGGATACTGTAATGATCATCTTCTTTTCTTTGTAGTACATGTATTCTATCTATTTTATCTATCTATATGTCATGTAACTTTAAACATGTTAGGTTTTATGGCAGTTTTCTAAACTATATTTGTAAAAACAGTCCGATTAAACGTGCATGTTGCATATCATCTTAACAGTACGCAAAGCTCATATGTGGATTTTATGTTTTTATAGTTGTTATCAAGTGCACATCAACTAATTGCTTTTATCAATTAATATTACCTCATCATTTTTACTGAAACAGTGCTACATTGTTAGAGCTGGCTCCTCACCCAACATCTGTTAACGGTACAACATCAAGCTTTCCATAACTCAACACCAATATCATAATACTCACTTATGCTGGTAGCCCTTCGTCAGTTTTTTCATAAAAGCAATTTGTTTCTATTTTCATATATTTGAACAGAACTTTAAACACTCTCTCTACTACTAATTATCTGACATAGTAGATATATCATTAAACATCAGGTATTTTCTATGATGTTGTAAAGTGGTTAATTAATTTCACTACGTTAAAACAAAATATAAAGACTCTCTGATATCTATAATTGGTTATTAGATTTAGAGGTTTTGTGGCAAGCGTTACAGCATGTGCTTTGCTAAGTGGAAAACTTGAACTACACAGGACATACGTTCCATTGCATGTTTGTGATAAGATTTTTGATAATTTTTAAATACTGCTAAGTACATTGCACCTAGCGGCAAATGTCTAGTTTTGCGAAAGTAAATGAAGGATCTTATTCCGTGTCTAGATTAACATCTCGATTTCGTTGCTTCCCATGAGATAATACCAATCCATACATTAGATATATAAATATGTAAAATCAATATCAACATAAATCCTCAGATGATGCTAAACCACAAATTATGTCAGAATGTTTAAACTATTTATAAGGGCGTTTACTGTTTTAATATTATATACCAAATATTGCAATCGTTATAGTGACAGTTAACGTTTCCGAATAAAGATTTGCACCGTGTTGTATAAAATTATTAAAGAAGAGGATGCCAGTGTAACGATACCGCAATTAGCTTTTAAATTTTTTTAATCGTTCAATTCATTTCAGACAAATTTTTCTTCAGTTTATGGTTCCACTTTAGGAATTTATTATGCTTCATTAGAGGAAGCAAATCCAAACGACGCAGCCTGTTTTGGAATCAATTTCTTTCAACGAACGATGGCATTCTTTCCATAACATAAAGATTAGTTTTTCGTAAAGGTTAAACTAATGAAACTGAGACCAATAATTGGCGCTGGAGTGTTGATGAAATGATACAAAAGGTAGTAAATTTAGCTGTTTGTCCAGCACAAAAGTGTACAGACAATCAATCACTTTGAGAGACGTGTGACAAGACAGTAGATCGGGATTACACAAACCAACCCCAGGTCTTGTCTAGACAGCACTTACCCATAAGATTTAATTCTCAGAAGACATTGTCGTGAATGAAAGGGGACTTGAAAGGCGATACAATAACACATGGAATTTCATTTGAAAACTTAATTTGCTTTTTTTTTTTATTATTATATAAAAAAAAATTTCTCGGGTTGTGATTTGGAAAACAGAAAAAAAAATGGAACGAATTACATTAATTAGTATTTATCACTCTTACTTGTCTAGATATAAACAGACAGCGGACCTTGATGAATGAGAAAAATGGGTGATGTGCAGAAAATGGAATGGACAGGTGGTCCCATGTATTTTCACTTTCAATCTGGAGGGAATCGAGCCCCAGTCGCGTTAGTAAAGGGCGAGTGTGTTACATGCTTCTTCCCGTGACACATTAAAAGAGATAGTTAACATCAGAGCAAAACAGGAATTTTGAATACGTCTTTAAAAAAGTTATATAAATAGTATTTCCTTAATATTTGGGTTGATCATGAAGTGTTCATTTTCCCAGAAACAAATCCAAACATATATCAAATACAATCTTAATAAATTACTCCCCATTGGCGCCCCAAACAATCTTCCAGAAGTTGGTAACTTCTCGGAAAGACAGGACAAGAAAATGAAACGATAGATTTTATAGCATTGTAGCATTCGACAGATATAAAGTAATATGATCGTTGTCGCTGTTATGGTATACCACCAATTTTATTAGAACTGTGTGTTAAACCAAATGCGCATTTTCTTATTCAACAAGTTCGGCAATATATGAAGGTAAAGTATTTTGATTATTAATATCTTAGAGAAAAACAACTTTTACTGTATCGTGTTACCGTTATAACCGTTTAATATGAACTTTAGAGAATGGTGATTCCTTTACGGGATAGCGTCATAATGCGAAATGTAAGCATGAATTGAACAACGATTCCTCAGAGTTTGAAGGTATTTAGACAATAAATGGTTTTACATGTATCAGAGAAGTTATATACACTGTACCAATACCGACTCCATGCGATATTCATTTAAATCTCATTCTGATACGAGAAAACATATCGCATATTTTTTTTTTACAAATTTGTCACTGACAATAGTTTGTTAAAATTACACTTGAATCGCGCCTGTTTTTGTCTAATGTGTTAAATTGAAAGCTGGTCTTAGTTAAACACGTTACATTATTGGTACAAATTGTAGAACAGCTGGTCGATGTGATATCAATGTCAACAGACACGTAGAATTAATTGTATTATTACGAGTCCTCTCATCGCAAATTTCGTGAAAGAAATGTGAGACTGTTGAAGTAATTAACACAAAATACACAATCTTTAAATCTTAAACATAAATATTGATACCATCTACCTACTTTACGACGTGTGTTGTGTTTTATGCGGTCTTCGTACAAGCAAAATATTTTTATAAAGTTTATGAAAAATTCCATATCGCAGTTTCTGTAAATCCTTGTTGAGAATTGTAATTATAAGAAAGATGACACATATATAAGACCAATTATAATTGTTCATAACATATACAAACGTGGTACATCTTTATGAGAAGGTTGTGGGTATAACTACGATACATTATACCCTGTAAGATATTGAGAACATATAGAGTTAAGATGTAGATAACATAATCATGAACTACATGATATCAATTTCGATGATAAATCATTTATCTATAGTGCGCCATTACCACTGATATCCCACAATCCCCAATGACTAAGTTTACGGAAACAGTTTCAGATATATTAACTGTGAACACAATTTACTGGTTCTCAAGAGATACGTAATAAAACATTTTAATGCGATAACATGTGTCAGGCGATCATTGTTATAGAAACAAGGCTGAAATGGGAGTGTAAAGGGCAGTAGACCTAAGAGAAATTTATAAACTGTGATAGACGGAAGTACTGCCACAAACTGTGATAGACGGAAGTGCTGGTGTACAGGCGCGTTCGGTACGTTTTGGTATCTTTTGCCCCATAAAGATACAACGATAGCGGCTTTCAGAATTTCAGAAAACGGATATGAACAGGAAAATCAATCAACGACAACAAAGCTAGCCTCCAACGTGTTACTTTGCGAAAGGAGGCAAAATATAAGAAAATTAACTTTGTGTTTATTTTTTTTTACTTAACTTAATAACCTAAAGGAACAAGTCAGATAAAGTTTTGTTACGAAATTAAAGTAAAATAACCTTGTTTTAATTTTCTCTTTCGTGTTAGCTGTTTCGTACAGCTGCAATAG